TCCGAGAAGTCTGCCATCGGGTTGCCACGAGATCTAGAAATCTATAATGCCATACATACCATAAGATATTTGGTCTCATACTTCTTCGCCTGATAACCTACCGACCTTTCCCAAAGGTCCCATCCCCATCAATGTACTCAACACCAGGTTCAAGACGCTCCTACCGCCAGCAAGGCAACTAAGCCCGGCTATCGATGCCGCTGCTATAAACGCTCTTGTGACACTGCCCAGCCAACACGAAAGCACCCCTATTAGCCTCATCGACCGCGCCGAATGCCACCGTCACGTTCGTGACCATGCCAGCGGAGACGCCCCCGATCACGTCCAACACGGCCACGGTCGCCGCGGAAGCCTCCGAGACCATGCTGTAGACGGCACACACGGCGGCGCTGCGGCCGCCGTTGTGCTTGCTGCCCGAGTCGCCCGCCACCATCGCGTCCGCGTCCGTGTCCATGTCGGCGGAGACGCCGCTGACCACGTCCACCAAGGCCACGGTCACCTCCATCGTGTCCGAGACCCTGCTGTCGATGTCGCTGGCGACGCCGCTGACGCTACTACCGGTGGCAACCTGCGTGCGGACTGCAGCTGTCGTTGCGCTCGCCGCCCGAGCCGAATGCCACCGTCGCGTTCGTGACCATGCCAGCGGAGACGCCCCCGATCACATCCAACACGGCCACGGTCGCCGCGGAAGCCTCCGAGACCATGCTGTTGACGGCACACACGGCGGCGCTGCGGCCGCCGTTGTGCTTGCTGCCCGAGTCGCCCGCCACCATCGCGTCCGCGTCCGTGTCCATGTCGGCGGAGACGCCGCTGACCACGTCCACCAAGGCCACGGTCACCTCAATCGTGTCCGAGACCCTGCTGTCGATGTCGCTGGCGACGCCGCTGACACTACTACCGGTGGCAACATGCGTGCGGACTGCAGCTGTCGTTGCGCTCAGTGCCCGAGCCGAATGCCACCGTCACGTTCGTGACCATGCCAGCGGAGACGCCCCCGATCACATCCAACACGGCCACGGTCGCCGCGGAAGCCTCCGAGACCATGCTGTTGACGGCACACACGGTGGCGCTGCGGCCGCCGTTGTGCTTGCTGCCCGAGTCGCCCGCCACCATCGCGTCCGCGTCCGTGTCCATGTCGGCGGAGACGCCGCTGACCACGTCCACCAAGGCCACGGTCACCTCAATCGTGTCCGAGACCCTGCTGTCGATGTCGCTGGCGACGCCGCTGACACTACTACCGGTGGCAACATGCGTGCGGACTGCAGCTGTCGTTGCGCTCAGTGCCCGAGCCGAATGCCACCGTCGCGTTCGTGACCATGCCAGCGGAGACGCCCCCGATCACATCCAACACGGCCACGGTCGCCGCGGAAGCCTCCGAGACCATGCTGTTGACGGCACACACGGCGGCGCTGCGGCCGCCGTTGTGCTTGCTGCCCGAGTCGCCCGCCACCATCGCGTCCGCGTCCGTGTCCATGTCGGCGGAGACGCCGCTGACCACGTCCACCAAGGCCACGGTCACCTCCATCGTGTCCGAGACCCTGCTGTCGATGTCGCTGGCGACGCCGTTGACGCTACTACCGGCGGCAACCTGCGTGCGGACTGCCGCTGTCGTTGCGCTCGCTGCCCGAGCCGAATGCCACCGTCGCGTTCGTGACCATGCCAGCGGAGACGCCCCCGATCACATCCAACACGGCCACGGTCGCCGCGGAAGCCTCCGAGACCATGCTGTTGACGGCACACACGGCGGCGCTGCGGCCGCCGTTGTGCTTGCTGCCCGAGTCGCCCGCCACCATCGCGTCCGCGTCCGTGTCCATGTCGGCGGAGACGCCGCTGACCACGTCCACCAAGGCCACGGTCACCTCCATCGTGTCCGAGACCCTGCTGTCGATGTCGCTGGCGACGCCGCTGACGCTACTACCGGCGGCAACCTGCGTGCGGACTGCCGCTGTCGTTGCGCTCGCTGCCCGAGCCGAATGCCACCGTCGCGTTCGTGACCATGCCACCGTCGCGTTCGTGACCATGCCAGTGGAGACGCCCCCGATCACATCCAACACGGCCACGGTCGCCGCGGAAGCCTCCGAGACCATGCTGTTGACGGCACACACGGCGGCGCTGCGGCCGCCGTTGTGCTTGCTGCCCGAGTCGCCCGCCACCATCGCGTCCGCGTCCGTGTCCATGTCGGCGGAGACGCCGCTGACCACGTCCACCAAGGCCACGGTCACCTCCATCGTGTCCGAGACCCTGCTGTCGATGTCGCTGGCGACGCCGCTGACGCTACTACCGGCGGCAACCTGCGTGCGGACTGCCGCTGTCGTTGCGCTCGCTGCCCGAGCCGAATGCCACCGTCGCGTTCGTGACCATGCCACCGTCGCGTTCGTGACCATGCCAGTGGAGACGCCCCCGATCACATCCAACACGGCCACGGTCGCCGCGGAAGCCTCCGAGACCATGCTGTTGACGGCACACACGGCGGCGCTGCGGCCGCCGTTGTGCTTGCTGCCCGAGTCGCCCGCCACCATCGCGTCCGCGTCCGTGTCCGTGTCCATGTCGGCGGAGACGCCGCTGACCACGTCCACCAAGGCCACGGTCACCTCCATCGTGTCCGAGACCCTGCTGTCGATGTCGCTGGCGACGCCGCTGACGCTACTACCGGCGGCAACCTGCGTGCGGACTGCCGCTGTCGTTGCGCTCGCTGCCCGAGCCGAATGCCACCGTCGCGTTCGTGACCATGCCACCGTCGCGTTCGTGACCATGCCAGTGGAGACGCCCCCGATCACGTCCAACACGGCCACGGTCGCCGCGGAAGCCTCCGAGACCATGCTGTTGACGGCACACACGGCGGCGCTGCGGCCGCCGTTGTGCTTGCTGCCCGAGTCGCCCGCCACCATCGCATCCGTGTCGCCGACGGCGGAGACGTTTCCGACCAGGTCCATCAAGACCATGATTGGGGGAATGCCGATGGTAGGGCGTTTCGGCGAGGGAGAACGGGTAGAGCGGTCGCGATACATAATGTCACATAAATAGACTATTGGTATTTGAAGTGGTTTACACAACATGTAAAGGCTCGCCTTTTTGGTGCCCATTTTGCTTTGGTTGATCTTTTCAAGCTTTCCCGCGCTGACATTTTTTTCCATGTCTTCGCTTTGACCAATCAAAACCTGTCTCCGAAAAATCGATGACAGTGATTGGCTGCCAAAGTTCAACAAGAAGTGTGATTGGTGGAATTAGTTCAAATCGATCCACTGTTGTTCGGTCGGCTTGATCGGCTTGCTCCGAATCAAAATGACCTTCTCGCATCGGAGCTCATTTCCGATTTTGCAAGCTCGATCCCAAGTGTCCCTGGCTGACCACGCTCCGTTCTTCCGGTTTCCACGCCTCGAACGACGGTGGTACACATGTGCTGGCCGTACCCATCGTTTACGGCGCGTGGCTGCCCGTGATACTGTGCACGCTGCGGTCAAGTCCAGCCTGCCAGTTCGCCCCTCACTCTCCAAGTCCAGCGTCGTTGGAGTCGCCACACGCTCAGCTCCTGTGTGTCGACGCATCTGCTGCTGCTGACCGCCTGTGCTACTTGACGCGCTGACCTCGGGACGCACCGGGCATGAAGTTGGACTCGCTGTCCGTCGTGTACCCACCCGACGACCACGTCCCGCACAACCGCCGCAACAGCGCATTTGTTGTCGATAACGCAGTGCTACTAGAACTGGCGCTGGGATGGTGTCGTTTGTCCCGTAGCCCCCAACTCTCCTCACGGCATTGCCGCCGGGTGTAGCTGTCAACCACGTTCAGCTGCGAGACGCCGAGATTCCGCTACAGGACCCCGAGATGGAGCGTCGGAGGCGGCACTGGACGACTGCCCACTAGACCTGCAGGTGGACGGCGTTCTCCCGCCCTTTTTCGCTTCCAGCGATCCTCATCGACGGACAACCGCACGTAGATGCCTCAGGAGGGAGCGGGGTGCCACCGGCGACAAAGATCAAGAGAGGCTACCGCTAGAAATGGAGCGTTCGAGTCCCATCGGGGGTCAAGATGGAGCCTGAAGTCGCCATGACGACGACGTCGCAAGCGCCCAATTTGCCCAGCGACAGGGACACGCAGGCGGCATTGGCACTTGGCAGCAGTGTATCTACGATGGGCGTCACCACTGTCGCCGTGTACCGTAGTTCGGACCGTCACTATGGGGCTTGCATGGGTCAACGTAACTGTGGAGACGATGCCGAAGCCGCTACAGCACTTACATTTGGTAGCAATACTGGAGTAAATCTAAGTACCGTATGTTACCGTTGAACGCTTTGAGTACTCGTACTATTCATGACTCTGTGTAATTACACTGTATTCATCCCGCACTCGATATCCGATGCATTTTGCACGGTACCTTATCAGCACAGCTACGCTGCATTCCGCATGGCGGGCATTGAACCTGCACCGGTGGGTTCAAACTCCACCATACTAACATCACATACAACGATGAGTCGAACCACCCCATACAAAGCCTAGTACGTTCGGTCCCTTTGAACACTTCGAACATGGCCATACAAATAACAATATATTCGGTCCATCATATCCACCCAACAACACTGATCTCTAGTACTTCAACATTCTAGATTCTGCGCTCAAGTGGAAAGATGGTTGATCGCAGGAAGGACGCGGATAATGTAGAGGTACGTGTTTTGGCTGTTTCGGCATCGTGTTGTTATGCTAGTGCTAATACGAACGGCTATGTATGGGTAGTTGCCAGGACCAACGAAGACGCATGCAAGCGATGGAAGGCGAATTTACGGATCGTCCAAGACGCTTGAAATGGTAGTGATGACATTGTTTCGGCCGTGCTGATGCTCATCGCATATATAGTCTTTGGCTTTGTGTAGCGCCGGTGAGCAACTGGAGTTCGACAATCTGTATCCAGTATTTGTGACCCCTTCTGGGCGAGAGCGGGTAAGTTCGTGTAGCTACGCAATAACGTTTGGCTAAAGCTAATCAGTGCCTACCTGTAGAGAACCGAAGCGAGATGCGGCACGTCGATCGACATAGACGACTTCATAATTTCACTGCCAGTGAAAGAGATGAACGACCTCTACGTGGCGATTTGTCGCGGTGACGATGACCGTGCGCACAACTTTATCTGGATGATGCGTTGGCAGGAGACGTGCATGGAGCTGTCTGAGGTAAGCCAAAATGTGTATCGTGGCTGGTTACGGGTAATGATATCTATGTTTGTATTCGATATGAAAATGTAGATCACGCGACCGCAAATTCGGGCACGTCTAAAATGTATAAACTCCAACTTGTTGCGGTATCGCGAGGAGCAAGACGAACATATCGAGCGCTTTATCGCGATGGAGGCGGACCCTTCCACACCACACGACACCCTCATGAACCATTGTAAGGAAGGCCTTGACTTGCAGAAACGCTACAACATAG